CCCCCCCCTCTTGGACACCCCCCTCTTGGCCGCCCCCGACCTTTGTCGGCCGAGAGGGCGGTCGCGGCGCGCGCGTCGGTCGAGGGCGTTCCTATGCCTATTCCTATTTCTATGCCTATTCCTATTCCTATTCCTATTCCTATTCCTATTCCTATTCCTATTCCTATTCCTATTCCTATTCCTATTCCTATTCCTAGTCCTAGTCCTAGTCCTATTCCTATTCCTATTCCTATTCCTATTCCTATTCCTATTCCTATTCCTATTCCTATTCCTATTCCTATTCCTATTCCTATTCCTATCCCTATTCCCATTCCTATTCCTATTCCTATTCCTATTCCTATTCCTATTCCTATTCCTATTCCTATTCCTATTCCTATTCCTATTCCTATTCCTATTGCTATTACTATCACTATTCCTACTCCTATTCCTATTCCTATTCCTATTCCTATTCCTTTTCCTATTCCTATTCCTATTCATATCCCTACTCAGTTTCCCATTCTTATTCTGTTTTGTATTATATATATGTGTTATTATTCCTGTTTCCTATGCCTATTCCCATTCATATTCCTATTCCTATTCCTATTCCTATTCCGATTCCTATTCCTATTACTATTCCTATTCCTATTCCTATTCCTATTCCTGTTCCCGTTCCTATGCCTATTCCTATTCCTATTCCTATTCCCATTCCTTTTCCTATTCCTATTCCTATTCATATCCCTACTCAGTTTCCCATTCTTATTCTGTTTTGTATTATATATATGTGTTATTATTCCTGTTTCCTATGCCTATTCCCATTCATATTCCTATTCCTATTCATATTCCTATTCCTATTCCTATTCCTATTCCTATTCCTATTCCTATTCCTATTCCTATTCCTATTCCTATTCCTATTCCTATTCCTATTCCTGTTCCCGTTCCTATTCCTATTCCTATTCATAATCTTATTCCTATTCCTATTCCTTCTCCTGTTGCTATTCCTATCCCTATCCCGATCCCTACTCCTATTCCTATTCCTCGTCCTCTTCCTGTTCCGAAGTTCAATTCCTAGTCCTATTCCGATTCCCATCCCTATCACTATTCCTATTCCTGTTCCGATTCTCGTACTTATTCATATTCATATTCCTATCCCTATTCCTTATCACGTTCCGATTCCTATTCCTATTCCTATTCCCATTTCTATTCCTATTCCTATTCCTATTACTATTCCTATTCCTATTCCTATTCCTATTCCTATTCCTATTCCTATTCCTATTCCTATTCCTATTCCTATTCCTATTCCTATTCCTATTTCAATTCCTTATTCCAATACCTATTCTAGTCCTATCCCTAGTCCAAAGAAGTCCCCTAAAGGTCCTGACTAGTCCTAGCCCTTAGTCCTAGTCCTAGGGTCCCCCAGTCCCTAGGTCGCTGAGTCCCTCTGGGGCAGGGGAAGTCCCTAGTCCTATTCCTATTCCTATTCCTATTCAGATTCCTATTCCTATTCCTATTCCTATTCCTATTCCGATTCCTATTCCTATTCCGATTCATATCTCAAGTCCTACTCCTGCCGCTATTCCTATTCCTATTCCTATTCATATTCCTATTCCTATTCATATTCTATTCCTATTCCTATTCCTATTCCTATTCCTATTCCTATTCCTATTCCTATTTCTATTCCTATTCCTATTCCTATTCCTATTCATATTCCTATTCCTATTCCTATTCTTATTCCTATTCCTATTCCTATTCCTATTCCTATTCCTATTCCTATTCCTATTCCTATGCCTATGCCCATTCCCATTCCCATTCCCATTCCTATTCTTATTCCTATTCCTATTCCTATTCCTATTCCTATTCCTATTCCTATTCCTATTCCTATTCCTATTCCTATTCCTATTCCTATTTCTATTCCTATTCCTATTCCTATTCCTATTCCTATTCCTATTCCTATTCCTATTCCTATTCCTATTCCTATTCCTATTCCTATTCCTATTCCTATTCCTATTCCTATTCCTATTCCTATTCCTATTCCTATTCCCATTCCTATTCCTATTCCTATTCCTATTCCTATTCCTATTCTATTCCTATTCCTATTCCTATTTCCTATTCCTATTCCCTATTCCTATTCCTATTCCTATTCCGATTCCTATTCCTATTCCTATTCCTATTCCTATTCCTATTCCTATTCCTATTCCTATTCCTATTCCTATTCCTATTCCTATTCCTATTCCTATTCCTATTCCTATTCCCATTATATTCCTATTCCTATCCCTATTCCGATTCCGATTCCGATTCCGATTCATATTCCTATTCCTATTCCCATTCCCATTCCTATTCCTATTCCTATTCCTATTCTTATTCCTATTCCTATTCCTATTCCTATTCCTATTCCTATTCCTATTCCTATTCCTATTCATAGTCCTATTCCTATTCCTATTCCTATTCCTATTCCTATTCCTATTCCTATTCCCATTCCCATTCCTATTCCTATTCCTATTCCTATTCCTATTCCTATTCCTAGTCCTAGTCTAAGTCCTAGTCCTAGTCCTAGTCCTATTTCTATTCCTATTCCTATTCCTATTCCTATTCCTATTCCTATTCCCATTCCTATTCCCATTCCTATTCCTATTCATATTCCTATTCCTATTCCGATTCCGATTCCTATTCCTATTCCTATTCCTATTAATATTCCTACTCCTATTCCTATTCCTATTCCTATTCCTCTTCCTCTTCCTCTTCCTCTTCCTCTTCCTCTTCCTCTTCCTATTCCTATTCCTATTCCT